AGAACTCGAACATTATAGGTTCTTGAGATGGAGTGTCCCAAAGATGTGATCTTGAAGAAATTTAATGAAAAAGATCGAATGTATGATTTTTTATTTAACCTAAATATAAAATTTGTTCAGGTTCGGATTCAAAATCTTATCAAGGATGATGTCACTTCATTAAAGGAGGTTATAACCTTGATTCAAGTTAAGGAGCGTCAAAGAGGCATTATGCTTGAACCAATGACAATAGAAGGGTTTGCCATGGTTGCACAATGGAACATCAAGAGGACATCCCAAAATGACTCGATATAATATTTAGTGCAATTATTTTAAGAAGAAGAAACATACCAATGATCTTTGTTGGAAGTTGCATATAAAATCTATTATTTAATTCGAGAATGTGGTCAATTAGATGGTCAAAAAATTCAATAGCAAGCTTATCAAGTCTCAACCACAAAATCCACTTTACAGAATTCGATCCCACAAACTCTTATAGAGACTACTATCTGCAATCTTATCTAGGCTGAGATTGAGAAACTTCGAAGTTTTTTGGGTTCATTGGACCAGCCTAGTGACTTTTGGTCATTAGCACTCTTTGGTAAGTCTATCTCTTCCAGATTTCATGCCTTGGACTAGTTTAAAAATTTCATTTGGATTATTGAGGTTGGAGTCTCAGATCACTTGATACATTCCTCGATTCATTTCACAATAAATCTACATTGTCCTAGCAGTAGAAAAATTACTGTTGCCGACAATTATATTACTAAAGTGGCCGGTGTTGATCACATTTTGTTGAGTTTGTCATGATTATTAAAAGATGTACTATAGATTCCAAAATTAACCAATTGTTATTTTGTCTATTCACAAACTGACCTATGATATGAACTTATTGTAGTATTTTACTCGTCTTACTATATCTTTCAATATTAAGTTTTTTTTATTGATCGTGGATTTAGTTCACTGTTGTTTTGGTTAGAAACATGAATAAAACAAGGGCAATTAAAGGCATGAGGAATAAGATTATTTGTGGTTCGAATATTAGGATAAAATTGAGAGATGAGTTGCATTGTTGTTTGATTACTCAATACTTTGGAGGGCAATCAATTTATAATCTAGGTTGCAATTATATCGTTTGCCCCTAATAAAAATTTGGAACCCATTTTTTGAGGGGTAAAACATAGGAGTATCTACGATATCATTATGTTGAGGAGTATCTACGCCCGATGACTCATGAACTCTCCCTTGTAAAAATTATGGTAAATGAAATCGGATAATATAATCTATGAAGTTATCACACTGAATCCATTTTAGTTTGACACCAAATTGGCTATGTATCATGACAAGAAAATTTAGATGGATAGTGGCCACATTGGACTTGTGTTTAAGAAGAATAATCCACGAGAATAGTGCTATCATCGATGAACAAAACAAACTGTCGAGCTTCTGTAACAGGGAATTTTAGAGGTGCCCTATATATTAGGGTAAGCAAATAAAAAGAACTATTATTGCTAATTGGAAAAAAAAACTTCTTCAAGTTTGACAAATTCACATGTGTCACAATGAAAGTCTTCAACATTAATTTATTTAAACAAACAAGGAAATAATGTCTTTAAAATAGTAAATGAAGGTGATCGAAACGAAAGTGTTGATGTCAAATGACATCTTTTTTTGAAACAAAACAACAAGACACTGAAAAAATATGCTTGATAGTAGGTGAGTATGTGACTGATGTATTGAGATAGTACAACACCCTTTTCCTTAGCAAGTACAATTCTCCTTCCTGAAACCTAATCCTGAAATACATAGTAAGATGGATAAAATAAGATATTACAGTTCATATCATAGGCTATTTTGTGAATATATAAAAGATTAGTGAATACTTTTGGAACTTAAAGTGCTTTTTTTAATTATAAGGATGAACTTAATTTTATGTGACAAACACCAGCCATTATGGTAATATAACCATCAACAACAATAATTTTTTTATTGCTAGGACAAGATGAATATATTGTAAAATGGCTCGAGTAATATATCATATGATATGTGGCTCCTGAGTCAATCATTGATGTCATGCGTTGTTTCATTTCCTCAAAGAAGTTAAAGAGAGATTGTTGAGAAGGAGACGAAGTGAAGAGTCGAAGTGAAAGGTCATAAAGAGGGGAGGAAGCGGGCAGTCAAGGACACGAATGGGTATTCTTCGTTCTATAAGTTACAACATGAGGGAGTTAGAGGTGAGATCAAGAGGTAAAAATGACTTATTTGGTGGGCCGATCGACACGCGTTAAGGAGGAAGGGCCTCGTGTTATGCTGGTTATTATGTGCATCTAAGGCAGAGAAGGAGATGCCATAAGCTTATGTAGGAGGCTTTTGGTTCCAAGGTTGAGCGGCTCTGTAGGAGGAAAAAAAGACTGAGAGGAAGAAGCTCTCATGACGTGTGAGCACAGAGGAGGCGAGTGTGAGGGATTCTCCTACATGTGTAGTGGCTTGATCCCATGTAATCGAGTCGAAGAAGAAGAGAAGAATTCATGCAGCCAAAATTTAGGTGAGTTATTAAAGTTTCGATATTAATGAAATATATTATTTAGTTTTTATTATACAAATATGAAAGATTTATTTAAAATATGAATATTAAAAGCTACAAGTACTTATGTTAAATTAGAGTGGAAATTAATTATAAATGTTGATTTAATTTTAGTTTTGTTGGTCAAATTAAAGTAACATGAATACTTAGAAATAAAAGTTTTGATCAATAATTAAAATAACATAAGTAAATAAAAGATAATTAATGATATACTTAAAATTATATTTTCTCGATATTGTAGACGGTTAATTATTGGAGAGAAGATAAGCAAGTTTGAAGATTTAAGACCAGTCACATTGTTTTTTGGTGAATACTCTTACTCCTAGATTTATGGTAGTATTTGCGTTTCTTCTCAATCAATTGCATTAATAGTTATTGATATCTATAAATTCACGTTTCAGTTTATCCTAATTTATATACTCTTCTTTTAAGTGGTCATATATGAATGCTAGGTCTCCTTTCAGTAAAAATTATAACATGTTTTTTTAAAGATGTATATGTTATATTATATGTCATAAAATAAGCATAAGAATGATCTTGATTATCTATCTATAAATTCATGTTTCTTGTATGTGTATTTTCTACTATAATGAAGTTGCCCCTTTAATCTACTAGCGGGGAACATTATGGTACCATGCATGTAAATAAAAAAAAGATATTGATACTGAAGTTTTTTAACTGGTACTATTTTTAGATGATACTTGTGTGCGGTTGTATATATATAAAATGATATAGATATATTATTGATATAGTAAAACCCATTGAATATTATGAAATATTATAATTGATTATATTCATTAACTATAAATTTTTTTATACTATTTATTTAAAGTTTAACTGACATGTATATTTTTTTTCTTTGTATGACTATAATTTAGGAGTGTGAGTGTTCACTAGTTTTGGTTAGCTTAATGTTGTTTTAAGCTAAATTTTTAGGTGTAATTAATTGATTAAAAGAAGAACAATAGAAGATAAAATGTTTGTAGAAGACGTGATCTTGTAATGAGGTAAATTTAATTGTACTACTTTAATTTAATTTCTTTAGTGGTTTTTTCCTTCGTTAAATATTAATTCACACTACCTGATTATCTATACCTATCTTGGTTATCTCTAAGTCTCGGGCCAGATCATGACAATCCAATGACCTTGTGTAAATCGTTCTAAGGCATGTAATCCATAAAAGAGTGATTTGAAAAAAATCCTAGACTTGAAAACCAAGGGTCCTAACACCATGTCAAGAAACGTGGAGTAAAATTCAGGCTCATCTTTAATTATACACTAACTAATTTATGTACTTACACACATATATACTTCTACATATATATACATACATAATATCTGTGTGTGTGCGTCTCTATATATATATATATAGATGTATGTTTGTATATATGTGTGTGTATGTATCTATGTCTGTATATATATCTGTATGTATGTATCTATGTTTCTATATATATATGTATGATGCATACATGCAAACATGTTACATTGACTATACATAGAAATCAGAAAAAAAATTAATAAGAAAACTAAAATATTCTATTTCTAAACTAGATCATTATATTAAGGGAAATATTCTATTCCTAAATTTTACCCTCATATCATGTGTTTTATTATATTCTTAAATTAAAACTTCCTAAATAAAAAACTTTCTTAAATTAAAACATTCCTAAAATAGTTATCCACTTTCTAACAACCTTTATACAATTATTTTCTCTTCTTTAGTTTTGTGCAAATGGGGATATTGAGCCCAAGGAATTTGATTGAATGTGTGGAAATATTTATTTAATTGTTTTGGTGATGTTGGAAGAGCATTTCTTGTTCACTACAAAAACACTGGACTTTTTTTTAGAAAGAAAATATAAGCATTCTCAATGACTAGTTCTGTAGATTGAATTGCATCACTTGGTGAGTACAATGCTAGCACAGAGCTGGTGCCGAGTCTGTCTGTGAATTTAAACTAAGTTTGAAAATGTAATACAAGATGAGAATATTCATACATAACTAACATTGTTATCATCATGCTTCAATTGCAAGGGAATTCTTAGGATTTTATTGCCATTTCTTTTGGAAAATTTGGACTCTCTGAAATAAAATTTGTGTATTCTGTATCTTTTCAGTAGAAGCTTCCGTCAATTTTTTTTTTGATATTTTTTTAATACTCAAGTAATATTTGATGAAGCGAGTTGGTGTAAATCTGAAGTGAAATTCCATCCAATTTCGTTGATAGTTTTGCTGTCAGCCTTTTATCCAAGTCAAACTAAAAAGCAAATTTTATTGATACGTTGGTTGAAAAAACCTGTTTTCTATTCAACCATGCATGTTATATATGTGTGTGAATGTATATCTGTGTGGATTGTGAAAATAATTCTTGTTTAACTCTAGCAAAAGTAAAATTGAAGGCGCTTGATTTATTTTTTTCTCTGTTGGTTCTCTTCAGTTCATTTTGCAGGCAAGGGCAATATGCCCTTTAGATCCACTGGTCTATAATGAACTTGGAGTTGTTGCTTATCATATGAAGGAGTAAGTAACCGTGTTCTTGTGTCTTTGCCATGTTTCTTTCTTAGGTGTTTGTTTTATGATTTTTTTTTTCTGGATAATACTTATTATTTTTTTAGTTTTTGATGCGTTTGTCTAGTTGCATGATTGTATCATCAGCACATTGATTTATTTTAATAACCATAAGATAAATAGTTATTTTTTGCTTTTGTTTCCATTGTCTTCTTATTTCTGAAACGGTCATACTTTCCCTGGACAAAATTATATATGTAAATACAAATCTTATGCTGATCATGAAAGTAGTTTAATATTTCCCTCCCTTTTCCTCTCTCTTTCTCTCTCATTTTCTCTCTCTCTCTTTCTCTCTCTCTCTCTCTGTGATTATGATAGCGCTGATGATGATCATCAGCGCAATGAAAATGGAAAACTACAGTGGATTTCTATTGTTTGATTGATGGGGGAATATCTAGTTATGCAAGAACCATGGAGATGAAGAAAAGTGAATTGAGAAGATCAAATGAATGAATGCCTAAAAGAGAGGCGTGCAATAGGGAGGGACAATGGTACCTAAATGAGCGAGTCACCTAAAGCCACACTGACCGACAAGGGTACCTCAAGGAGAGTTGGCAAGACAAAGGAATGACAAGATAGATCCGAGTGGAAAGAAGCCAGAAAAGTATAGTTTTTCCAATAAATGGCCTGCCACGAGGTGTTTAGGTGCCACAACTATTGACACAACCACCAGTTGTCCCACGAGCTGAGCCATCTCATTCACAGGTTAGGGCGTCATCGAGGAGCCAGAGGATAGAGGGAGAAATTCAGCTCCACAAGAGTTCTGCAGTAAGAGTCGGAGGAGATCAGTCATGGCTGAAGCACATTAACTTTTGCACAAAATAAAGGGCAAGTTTTGTAGTTTGATCATTGACGATGGGAGTTGTGAAAATGTGTTCACATTAATGGTGAAAAAAATTAGGGTTAGCCACCCAAAGTTCCCTCACCAGGTTGAAAAAGGGAAATGAGATACACACAAATTAACAATGCTTGGTTGAATCTTCAATTCGGGATCAATTGAAGGAGCAAGTGTGGTGCTAAGCTGTCATATTTTGTTGGGGGGCCTTCTTGCAGTTCGAGCACAAGACTCAACACAACGGCTTCAAGAGTACCAACTCTTTTAAAAAGGATGAGAAATACATCATGTCGTTACATGTTAAGAATGTAAGAGGTGTAGGTGACACAGAGGAGCCGTTTGTCTCAAGGGCCACCGTCATGTAGGTAGTTCAGGATACTCTAGTGGTGCTGGCATTGGTCCTACTTAAAAAAGATGGAAAACACATTGTTTTATTACCTGTTAGGTGTACAATACACAGAGGAGGCATTAGTTAGTCTCAAGGGCTACTTTCATGCAGGCATTTTAAGATGCTCTGGTGACATTGACATTAGTCCTACTGTAGGGAGGCACAAGCAAAATAGGGAAACAGGGAGAATGCGATACCAACACCTCTACAGGAACTACTACATGACCTCCAGGATGTGATGACCAACAGTCTTTCAGAAGCATTTCCGCCATTGAGGGACATTTAGCATAACTTGGATCTCATGTCAAGATCAATGTTGTTGAACTTGCCCGTCTACAGATTGAGATTTGCGAAGTAAGAGCACTTACAACGACATGTACAAGATCTCGTCGTGTTAGGGTTGGTTAGAAAGAGTTACCAGTTTGTGTGCTGTTGCTGCCTTGATGGTACTCAAGAAGGACAGTTTGTGGAGGATCTGTGTTGACAACAGAGCCATCAACAAGATTACCATCAAGTATCGATTTCCTATACCTCGCCTGGAATATCTCTTGGACCAGTTACATGGAGCCAACATCTTTTCCAAGATCAGCTTACGCAGTGGGTATCACCAGTTTCGGATGAGGCCATGGGATGAGGGGAAGACTGTTTTCAAGACACAAGATGGTTTATACGAGTGGATAGATGCCCTCCAACTTGTCAAATGTGCCCAACACTTTTATGAGATTGATGATTCGATATTCCGGGCCCACATTGGAAAATTTGTGGTGCTCTACTTTGATGGCATTCTGATATACAATCGATCCAAGGGGCATCTAAAGCACCTGAGAGCGCTATTCAAAATATTGCGAGCAGAGAGGCTATATATCCATCCAAAGGTCTCATATATGCAGACCCAATATGCGTTTTGGGTTATGTCATGTCTACTGCAGTTTTTCTGATGAATACCACACAACAATCGTTTATTGATTTGAGGCAGTTTCTCGGACTAACGTCGTTTTATTGGCGATTCATCAGAAGCTTCATTACAATCACTGCCTATCTGACCGAACTTTTGAACGGAGACAAATTCCAGTGGACAGAGACAACTCAGAATAGTTTCAGTGCACTCGAGGTGACCCGAGCACTAGTCCTGGCATTTTCGGATTTTAACCGGTCATTAGAAGTTGAGTGTGATGCATCTGACGGGGGATAGAAGCAGTGTTGAGCTAGGGAGGTTGCCTCACATTTTTCAGTGAGAAGCTGAATGATTTTGGGAGAAAATACTCGATATATGATAAAGAGTTTTATGCTATTGTAAGAGCTCTTGAGAACTGGAGCCATCACCTGATGACAAGCAAGTTCATGTTATTTTTGGATCACGAAGCTTTGAAATTCTTTAGCAACCATAGCAAACTGAAGGCCTGACATGCAACTTGGGTATTTTTATCATCTTTCCAGTTCGTGCTTAAGCATAAGACAGAGTGTCATAGTCAAGTAGAAGATGCACTAAGCCGCCACCAATTGTCAATCATTGCGATGCAAGCTTGCATCGTCAGTTCTGATGTAGTAAAGGAGCTTTAAGAGAAACGAGGACTTCGGGAAAATTTGGTAGTAGTTTCTGGAGAAGCCTATCAGGCAGCACTACAGAGCTGATCGATACATGTTCTACTAGAGTAAGTTGTGCGTTCCTAGATGTTCGTTGAGGGAGTCCATTGTTCCGGAATGCTACAGTGGAGGGCTCGCTAGTCATTTTGGTAGAGACAGGACTTGTACTCGTGGGAGAACACTCCTTTTGGCCTCGATTAGCGAGAGATATAAAGCGACATGTTAGGCAATGTAAGGTTTGTCATTTGGCAAAACCCAGGGGGGCAGAATGCAAGATTATACACCCCATTCCTAGTACAAGAGGCAAGATGGGTGGACGTTAGAATGAACTTTGTGCTGGGGCTTCCGAGGACAGTAAAACAAGGGTTCCATCATGGTCCCGGTGGATCAATTGTTGAGAATGACATATTTCATATAGTGCCACCAGACACTAGATGCCTCATATGTTGCCAACTTGTATTTCAGAAAAATTATGAGGCTGCACGAGATACTTAGGACCATCACTTCAAACAGAGATGTCAAATTTTTGAGTCACTTTTTGAGGACAATATGGGGAGAATTAGGCACTAAGCTTCAATTTTGTTCCTCATCACACCCTCAAACGGACGATCAGATGGAGGTAGTAAGTAGGAGTCTTGGAAATTTAATGAGATGCTTATTTGGGAAGAATATCAAGTAGTGGGATTTGATTATTGCTTAGGCAGAGTTTGCGTACAACAGATTTGTAAGTCAGATCATGAGTAATACCCCATTTGAGATCGTGTACAGGCGCAATCGGTTCATTTTACTGGAATTGGTACCGCTCCTGCCAATGTCAGATATTAGTGAGAATGTCGAGGAATGGGTGCACGAGATTCGGAAACTCCACGAGAAAGTTGGAAAAAATATCATTAAGCAAAATCGTAAGTACCAGGCACAAGCAAAAAGATGAGGAATAAGGCGGCCTTTAAAAATTGAGAGCTAGTGTGGATCCGGCTGAAGAAAGAGATATTCCTAGTCAGAGATTTGAAAACTCAAAGCTAAGAGCAGACAAACCTTTCAGAATGTTTTGGAAACTGAATGATAATTACTATAAGATCGACCTGTCAGGGGACTATAATGTTTCAACCACGTTCAATTTTATGGACCTAACGTCGTATTACGAAAATCCAGATGCTTCAACGGATGAAGTATAAACTCCCTCAACCTTGAGAGACTGACACGAGTGTTAAGTTTGGTTGAACCGGCCAGGGATTCAGAGAGAGGAGTAACGATCTAGAAGGAGGTTGGACTGGCCAACTCCTTTAAAAGTGCGGGAATTACCCTCCATACTTTCCCCCCTTCTGATTTCTTACCTATCTATCTACTGTAGATATTTGTGCCTACTAAGTCTAGTTTTTATTGTTAGTTTTGTTTCAGATTTTTTCCTGTAAGTTCTTCACTTGCTCAGGCTGTATCCGAGGACAAGTGGTGCTCTGGCTGTATCATGTTCTAAGGTGGTGATTATCCCCTTCCCCACTCTCCTCCTTCCTTGCTCCTAGGTGCTGTCCAACAACCCTTTTTCCTTCTTGATCCAACTGCTAGCCATCCAAACCATCCTTGTTGTTAGCTGGCGGCCAACAACCCCTCTTCTCTCTGGATCTAACATCCAGCTATCCAAACCATCTCTTAGTTCCTAGCCACCAACCACCCTCTCCTACTCTTCCAGACCGAGTCTCAAGGCACCGCTCCCTTTCTCCCTGCTCCTAACCGCCGACCACTTCTCGTTTCATTTGCAGATCCAACCAACAACGACCAGCCACCAATTCTTCCTTCTCCCTGCTCCTAGCCATCGGCCACCCTATAGCCTTCTACTTCTAGCCACCTTTTCCTCACCTTCTTCCACTTCAACTGTCAACCACCACACCAACACAACTATCGCCCCCGGGTCTTCCTACCCGACCCTAGCCGGTTATTGTTGATATTGTGTTTTTTCTCGTTTTATTTGATTCTTGATTGTAATCCGACTTGTTCTGAGTACTAATATTGTCACCATTTTGTGGTTTAGATTTCATCCCTGTATCACTTACATTACATCATTCTTCTAGGCTGAAAAGAACAGTACTTTAGAGATTGAACTATTAATGAATAAAGATATGGAGGCCTTCAACTATACCACAAAAATGG